GAGATTTGAGGGGATTTGGGGGTTTTTGGGGGGTTTTGGGGGGGGAATTGGGGTAAAATTGGGGGGGATTTGGGTTTTGGGGGGGAGATTTGGGGGTTTTGGGGGGGGAAATTGGGGGGAAATTGGGGGGAATTGGGGGAAATTTGGGGGAGATTTTAGGAGGGGAATTTAGGGGGGATTCGGGACCGATTTGGGGATTTAGGGCAGTTTGGGGGTGGATTTTGGGGTTTGGGGTTGTAAATTTGGGATTTAGGGCGGGTTTGGGTTGAGATTTGGGGGTGGGGGATTGGGTGGGATTTGGGTTTTTTGGGTTTTTTTTTTTGGGATTTGGGGGGGTGGGGTCAGAATCTCCCCAAAATTGGGAGAAACGACCCCAAAATTGGGGGGAAACGACCCCAAAATTGGGGGGGGGGGGTCTCACCCGAGCTCAGCAGCAGCAGCAGCAGCAGCAGCGCCCCCATCAGCCCGGGGGGAGCCCCGGCCATGCTGCGTCCTGGGGACCCCAAAATTCCCACATTTCACCCCAAAAAACCCCCAGGATTTCAGCCCCAAAATCCCAGAATTTTCCCCCCAAAAATTTCCGAATTTTCCCCAAAAATTTCCCGGATTTCTCCTCAAAAATTCCTGAATTTCCCTCCCCAAAAATCCAGATTTTTCCCCAAAATTGCAGAATTTTCCCCCAAGAATTCCTGAATTTAACCCCCCAAAAAATCCAAATTTTTCCCCGAAAATTGCAGAATTTTCCCCCAGAATTCCAGGATTTCAACCCCCCCCAAAATTCCAGAATTTACCCTCAAAAATTTCCCGGATTTTCCCCAAAAATTCCTGAATTTACCCCCCCCCCCCAAAAATCCAGATTTTTCCCCGAAAATTGCAGAATTTTCCCCCAAAAATTCCTGAATTTAACCCCCCAAAATTGCAGAATTTTCCCCCAAAATTCCAGGATTTCAACCCCCCCCAAAATTCCAGAATTTATCCTCAAAAATTCCCGAATTTTCCCCAAAAAATTCCAGGATTTATCCCCAAAATTCCAAAATTTACCCCCCTCAAAAATCCCCGAATTTCCCCCCCAAAATTCCAGAATTTACCCTCAGAAATTCCTGAATTTTCCCAATAAAATTCCAGGATTTCACCCTCAAAAATTCCCGAATTTCCCCCAAATTTCCAAAATTTATCCCCCCCCAAAATTCCAGGATTTATCCCCAAAAATTCCAGAATTTACCCTCAAAAATTCCAGAATTTTCCCCTAAAATTTCCAGGATTTTTCTCCAAAAATTCCTGAATTTCCCCCCCAAAAAATTCCAGGATTTATCCCCAAAATTCCAAAATTTCCCCCCTCAAAAATCCCGGAATTTTCCCCAAATTTCCGAAATTTATCCCCCCAAAAATCCAGAATTTACCCTCCAAAATTCCCGAATTTTCCCCAAAAATTTCCAGGATTTTCACCCCCAAAATCCCAGAATTTCTCCTCAAAAATTCCAGAATTTACCCTCAGAAATTCCTGAATTTTCCCAATAAGATTCCAGGATTTCACCTCCCAAAATTCCCACATTTCACCCCCCAAAAAAAACCCCAGTATTTCAGCCCCAAAATCCCAGAATTTTCCCCCAAAAAATTCCCCGAATTTTCCCCCAAAATTTCCCGGATTTTTCCCCAAAAATTCCTGAATTTCCCTCCCCCAAAAATCCAGATTTTTCCCCGAAAATTGCAGAATTTTTCCCCCAAAAATTCCTGAATTTACCCTCAAAAATTCCCGAATTTTTCCCCAAAATTCCAGGATTGTCACTCCCCAAAATTCCAGGATTACCTCCCAAAAATTCCAGCATTTACCCTCAGAAATTCCTGAATTTTCCCAATAAAATTCCAGGATTTCACCTCCCAAAATTCCCACATTTCACCCCAAAATCCCAGAATATCCCCAAAAATTCCGGAATTGATCTCAAAAATTTCCCGATTTCCCCCAAATCTTTGCAGGAATCCAAAATTTGGGATTTTTCTGCCCCCAAATTTGAATTCTCCCCCCCCCAAATTTGAGATTTCCCTTCCCCAAAATCCCCCCAGGAACCCCAAAAATTTCAATTTTCCCACCCAAAATTTGCATTTCCCTCCAAAATTTCGATTTTTCTCCCCAAATTTACATTTCCCCCCCAAAATTTGAATTTTTTCCTCAAAATTTCGATTTTCCCCCCTCAGAATTGGAATTTTTTCCCCCCAAAATTTCGATTTTTCCCCCTCAGAATTGGAATTTTTGCCCCCAAAATTCGGAATTTTCTCCCCAGAATTGGAATTTTTGCCCCCAAAATTCGAATTTTTCCCCCCAAAATTTGGGGTTTTTCTCCCCAAAAATTTGAATTTTCCCCCCAAAATTTGGGGTTTTCTCCCCAAAATTGGAATTTTCCCCCCAAAATTCGAATTTTTCCACCCAAAATTTCGATCTTTCCCCCTCAGAATTGGAATTTTTGCCCCCCCAAATTTGGATTTTTCCCCCCGGATTCGGGGTCCCCCCCCCCCCCCGCACCCACCGTTGGTCGCGGCCGCTCCGTTCCCCGCCCCCCCCCTTGGGCCGCACCATTTATGGGGGGCGGGGGGGGGGCAAAGTCCGGGTAAACAGCGCGGGGGGAGGGGCAGGGGGAGGGGAAGAAAGGGGGAGGGGACCCCAAAATTCGGAAAATCCCCAAAACAAACCCCAAAAAAATCCCAAAAAATCCCAAAAATCCCTCAAAAAATCCCCCAAAATTCCCAAAAATCCCTCAAAAAAGTCCCCCAAAAATGCCTCAAAATTCGCTGAAAATCCCAAAAAATTCCCCCCAAAATCCTGAAAATTTCCCACAAAAAATCCCCCAAAATTTCCCCCCAAATCCTCAAAATTTGCCACAAAAATTCCCCAAGAATTTCAAAAAAGTGCCACAAAATTCACCCCAAAATCCCCAAAAAAGTCTCAAAAATCCCCCCCAAAAAATCCCCCAAAATCCCAAAATTCCCTCAAAAAAATCCCCCCCAAAATGCCTCAAAATTCGCTGAAAATCCCCGAAAATTTTCTACTAAAAATTCCCCCAAAAATTCTCAAAAAACCCCTCAAAATTCACCACCCAAAATCTCGAAAATTTCCCACAAAAATTCCCCAAAAATTTCCCCCCAAAATCCTGAAAAATTCCCACAAAAATTCCCCCCCCAAAATCCTGAAAATTTCCCACAAAAAATTCCCCAAAATTTCCCCCCCAAATCCTCAAAATTTGCCACAAAAATTCCCCAAAAATTTCAAAAAAGTGCCACAAAATTCACCCCAAAATCCCAAAAAAAGTCTCAAAAATCCCCCCCAAAAATCCCCAAAAAATCCCCCAAAATCCCAAAAATCCCTCAAAGTCCCCCCAAAAATGCCTCAAAATTCGCTGAAAATCCCCGAAAAAATTCTACCAAAAACTTTCCCCAAAAATTCTCAAAAAACGCCACAAAATTCACCCAAAAAAGTCTCAAAAATCCCCCCAAAAATCCCAAAAAAATCCCCCAAAATCCCGAAAATTTCCCACAAAAATTCCCCAAAAATTTCCCCCTCAAAATCCCAGAAAATTCTCCCAAATACCCCAAAAATTTCAAAAAAGTGCCACAAAATTCACCCAAAAATCCTGGAAAATTTCCCCAAAAATACCAAAAAAATTCCCCCCAAAATCCTGAAAATTTAAAAAAAAAAAATCCCCAAAAATCTCCGAAATTCCCTCAAAATCCCTGGAAAATTCCTCCAAAATGTCTCAAAATGTGTCCAAAATCCCCTAAAATCCCCCAAAATTCCCCTTTTTCTTCCTATATTTTGGGGGCATTTTAAAAAATTTCCAAGGATTTGGGGGAATTTCCTGGGATTTTAAAGGTTTGGGGTTTTTTAAAATTATTATTTCCTGGGATTTTGGGGCATTTCCAAGGATTTTTTGGGTCATTTCGGGTGAATTTCCCATAATTTTGGGGTATTTGGACTGAATTTCCCGCTGTTTTTGGGTAAATTTCCAGAATTTTGAGGAATTTTTAGTGAATTCCCCACAATTTCGGGCGAATTTTGTGGAATTTTGGGGAACTTTGAGTGAATTTCCCGGAATTTTGGGGGAATTTTCAACAATTTTTTAAGGTTTTCCCCGGATTTCCGGTGAATTTTGTGGAATTTTGGGCGAATTTCTCGCGATTTCGGCTGAATTTCCTGGAATTTTAGGGAGTTTTGAGTACATTTCCCACAATTTCGGTTGAATTTCGGGAATTTTGGGGATTTTTGGGCGGATTTTTCCGCGTTTTCGAGCGATTTTCCCGCCATTTCCGCTCCCCGGCCGCCATTTTCCCCGTTTGTGGGCGTGGCCTCCCCAAACCCCACCCCCAATTCGGATGCGCCCACCGGAAGTGAGCTCGGCCTCGCTTTCCCATCACCCCTTGCGGCCTCACAGAACCCGGAAGCGTCACCGGAAGTAGGCGCGGCCTCGCTTTCCCATCACCCCCCGCGGCCGTCAGGCCCCGGAAGCGCCAAAAATTCCCCCCAAAAATCCCAAAAATCGCTAAAAATCGCCCCAAAAATTCGGGAATTTCACCAAAAATCCCCTCGGGGGGACCCCCCGGAGCGGCCATGACGCTTTTTCACTTCGGGAATTGCTTTGCGCTCGCGTATTTCCCGTATTTCATCACCTACAAATGCAGCGGCCTGTGAGCAACTGGGACAAACTGGGACGAACTGGGAGGGGACTGGGAGGGGATGGGAAAGGGTTAAAGGGGGGGTTTGGGGTTACTGGTTTGGACTGGGAGGGAGCTGGGAGGGGGTTTTTGGGGGTGTACTGGTTTATACTGGTTTGTACTGGTTTATACTGGTTTATACTGGTTTGTACTGGTGGCAGGTCCGAGTACAGCGCGTTCTGGCGCTGCGTCCAGGCTGGAGCCACCTACGTACTGGTGCAACTGGGAAAGGTGGGAGAAGGGACTGGGAGGGAACTGGGAGGGACTGGGAACCCCAAAGTGGCCAAAGTCACCCCAAAATCCAAACTGGGAACCCCCAAAACCAAACTGGGAGGGACTGGTACAAACTGGGAACCCCCAAAAGCGAACTGGGAACCCCCAAAATGCCCAAAATTCACCCAAAAAACCAAACTGGGAGGGACTGGGAACCCGAAAATCCAAACTGGGAAGCCCCAAAACCAAATTGGGAGGGACTGGGGAGCCCCGAAATTCCCCAAATTCACCCCAAAAATCCAAACTGGGAATGCCCAAAACCAAACTGGGAACCCCAAAATCACCAAAATTTCCCCCAAAATCCGACTGGGAACCCAAAAAATTGAACTGGGAGGGACTGGGAGCCCCAAAATTCCCTGAATTTACCCCAAATTTCCCCTCCCCCCCAGATGCTGTTCTTGGCCACTTTTTTCCCAACCTGGGAAGGACCCTCGGGAGGCTACGACCTGGTGGGGGTGAGTGACCCAAAATCGCCAAAATTCAGCCCAAAAACGACCCAAAAATTCCCTAAAATGGCCCCAAATTCACCCCCAAAAATCCCTGAAAATTCACCCCCAAAAATGGCCTAAAATTGCCCCAAAATCAATCAAAAAATTGCTGAAAAATTCCTCCCCAAATCCCCCAATTTCACCCCAAAAATGACCCCAAAATGTCCCAAATTCAGCCCAAAAATAGCAAAAAATTCCCAAAAATACCCGAAAAAATACTCAAAAATATAAAAAAAATTTCCCCTAAAATTCACCCCAAAATAAGCCTAAAAATACCCAAAAAAATCCCTAAAAACCCTCCCAAAAATCAGCCCAATTTTACCTCTAAATCAGCCCAAAAATATCCCAAAATCAGCCAAAATCCACCCCAAAAATGCCCCAAAAATACCCCTAAAATCAGCCAAAAAATGTCCTAAAAATACCCCAAAAATTTTTTAAAATTCCCTGAAATACCCCCAAAATTCACCCCAAAAATGTCCCAAAATGAACCCAAAAATGAGCTCCAAAATGCCCCAAAAACTGCTGAAATATTTCCTCCCAAAAATCTCTGAAATTCTCCCCAAAAATATCCCAAAAATGCCCCAGAAATAGCCCCAAAAATGTCCCAAAAATCAGCCCAAAAATATCCCAAAATTCACCCCAAAAATGCCCCAAAATCAGCCCAAAAATGCCCTAAAAATCAGCTCAAAATGCCCCAAAATCAACCCAAAAAAATCTCAAAAATGTCCCACAAAATCCCCAAAAAATCTCCTAAAAATTCCCAGAAGTATCTGCAAAAATTCCAAAAATTTCCCAAAAAAATCCCCCAAAAAATCCATCAAAAATTCCCCCAAAAAACCCAAATTTCCCCCCCCATTTTCCCCCATTTTTTCACCATTTTTCCCTATTTTTCCCCCATTTTTCCCGCCATTTTTCCACCATTTTTCCACCATTTTCCCCATTTTTTCTCAATTTTTTCCCCATTTTTTTCCATTTTTCTCCCCATTTTCCCCCATTTCTTCCCCATTTTTTCACCATTTTTCCACCATTTCTTCACCATTTTCCCCCCATTTTTCCCCATTTTCCCCCATTTGCCCCCAAATTTTTCTTTCATTTTCCCCCTATTTTTTCCTGATTTTTTTCCCCATTTTCTCCCCATTTTCCCACCCTTTTTCTTCATTTTTTATTCATTTTTCCCCCATTTTTTCCCCATTTTTCCCAAATTTCTGTTTTTTCAGGAATTTCTGCGGGCCACAGTCGATGTTGCTGATCTTGGGGGGGGCTGCAGTTGGCGCTGGGCCGGGGGTCCAAAAATCCCCTCAAAAAATCCTCAAAAAATCCCCAAAAATTCCCCAAAAATTCCCCAAAAAAAAAACTTTAAAAAAAATTCCCAAAAAGCCTCAAAAAATCCCAAAAATCCCAAAAAATCCATCAAAAACTCCTCAAAAACCCCAATTTTCCCCCCATTTTCCGCCATTTTGTCCCCATTTTCCGCCATTTTGTTTCCCATTTTCCGCCATTTTGTTTCCCATTTTTTCACCGTTTTTTCGCCATTTTTTCACCGTTTTTTCGCCGTTTTTTTCACCGTTTTTCCCCATTTTTTCACTGTTTTTCCCAAATTTCTGTTTTTTCAGGAATTTCTGCGGGCCACAGTTGATGTTGCTGACCTTAGGGGGGCTGCAGTTGGTACTAGGCCGGGGCCCAAAAATCCCCCTTTAAAAATCCTCAAAAAATCTCAAAAAACCCCCAAAAATCCCCCCAAAAAATCTCCTAAAAAATTCCCCAAAATCCTCAAAAATTCCCCAAAATCCTCAAAAAATCCCCAAAAAAATCCACCAAAAACTCCTCAAAAACCCTAATTTTCCCCCCATTTTCCGCCATTTTGTCCCCATTTTCCGCCATTTTGTCCCCATTGTCCGCCATTTTGTTTCCCATTTTTTCACCGTTTTTTCGCCGTTTTTTTCACCGTTTTTCGCCGTTTTTTTTCACCGTTTTTTCCCCATTTTTTCACCGTTTTTTCCTCATTTTTTCACCGTTTTTCCCAAATTTCTGTTTTTTTCAGGAATTTCTGCGGGCCACAGTTGATGTTGCTGACCTTGGGGGGCTGCAGTTGGCGCTGGGCCGGGGCGGGGGCCGGGGCGAGCTCCGGATCCTCGTGGCCGCTCTGGGCTGGGCCAGCGCCGAACTCCTCACGGCCAGGTGGGAATTTGGGGCAAAAATCGGGGATTTTGGGAAAATTTGGGAGTTTTGGGCAATTTCAGGGATTTGGGGCAATTTCAGGGCTTTTTGGGGGGGTTTGGGGAAGTTTTAGGGCAAAAAACGGGGAAAAAATTGAATTTTTTTTGAATTTTTGGGGGATTTTTCATGGGATTTTGGGGGGATTTGCAGGGGAAATTTGGGAATTTTTCAGGTTTTATTCAGGAATTTTTGGGGTAAAAAAAGGAAAAAAAATGGAATTTTTTGGAATTTTTGGGGGAATTTTTTGGGAATTTTGGATTTTTTTCAGGTTTTATTCAGAAAATTTTGGGGCATTTTTTTGGGGTAAAAATAGGGAAAAAATTGATTTTTTTTTGAATTTTTTGGGGGATTTTTCGTGGGATTTGGAGAGAAAATTTGGGAATTTTGGGGGAATTTTTTGGGTTTTATTCAGGAATTTTGGGGGAATTTTTTGGGAAGTTTTTGGGAATTTTCAGGGAAATTTGGGGGAATTTTTGGGGCGAAATTTCAGGATTTTTGGGAAATTTTGATGGAATTTTTGGGGGATTTTTCTGAGTTTTGCAGGCGATTTTTGGGGAATTTTGGGGGAAATTTCAGGGAAATTTTGGGGGATTTTTTTTTTGAGTTTTGCAGGCAATTTTCAGGGAATTTTGGGGGAAATTTTGGGAGAATATTCAAGGAATTTTGGGGGAATTTTTGTGGGAATTTTCAGGGAATTTTGGGGGGAAATTTCAGGATTTTTGGGAAATTTTGATGCAATTTTTGGGGGATTTTTCTGAGTTTTGCAGGCGATTTTTGGGGAATTTTGGGGGAAATTTCAGGGAAATTTGGGGGATTTTTTTTTGAGTTTTGCAGGCAATTTTCAGGGAATTTTGGGGGAAATTTCAGGGAATTTTGGGGGAATTTTTGGGGAATTTTGGGGGGAATTTTTGTGGGAATTTTCAGGGAAATTTTGGGAATTTTTGGGGGATTTTTCTGAGTTTTGCAGGCGATTTTCAGGGAATTTTTGGGGGAATTTTGGGGAAAATTTTTGGGGAATTTTGGGGAAAATTTTTGGGGAATTTTGGGGAAAATTTTTGGGGAAATTTTTGGGGGATTTTGGGAGAATTTTCAGGGAATTTTGGGGGAATTTTGAGAGGGTTTGGGGGGTGAAAGCTTGAGGGGAAAATGAATTTTTTCGGGAAATTCAAGGCGGTTTTTGGGGAGTTTTGGGATTTTCTGAGGATTTTGGGGCAAATTTTGGAAATTTTGGGGCGAAATTTGGGAACTTTTGGGGGAAAATCTGGGAATTTTGGGGGGGATTTTTTGGTGAGGAAAAAAATGAGGAAAAAAATTTGGGAATTTTGAGGAATTTTCTGGGAATTTTTTTGGGAATTTTGGGATTTTTTTTGGTGGGAATTTTGGGGAATTTTGGGATTTTTTGGTTTTTGGGGTGAATTTGGGGAATTTTGGGATTTTTGACCCCTCCCCTCCCCCCCATTTCAGGTGTGTCCCCCTCTGGGTGGGGGCGCGGGGGGTGGAGTTCGACTGGAGGCACCTCCAGATGGGGCTGGACTCCAACATCAGCCTGGTGAGTTATACTGGTTTGTACTGGTTTGTACTGGGAGGGACTGGGAGGGACTGGGAATGGACTGGGAATGGACTGGGATAAACTGGGAGGGACTGGGAATGGACTGGGATAAACTGGGAGGGACTGGGAATGGACTGGGAGGGACTGGGAAAGGGTTAAAGATGGATTTGGGGTTACTGGTTTGGACTGGTTTATACTGGGAGGGACTGGGAGGCACCTCCAGATGGGGCTGGACTCCAACATCAGCCTGGTGAGTCAAACTGGTTTGTACTGGTTTGTACTGGTTTGTACTGGTTTGTACTGGGAGGGACTGGGAGGGACTGGGAATGGACTGGCATATACTGGGAGGGACTGGGAGGGACTGGGAATGGACTGGGTTATACTGGGAGGGACTGGGAAAGGGTTAAAGGGGGATTTGGGGTTACTGGTTTGGACTGGTTTATACTGGGAGGGACTGGGAGGCACCTCCAGATGGGGCTGGACTCCAACATCAGCCTGGTGAGTTATACTGGTTTGTACTGGTTTGTACTGGGAGGGACTGGGAGGGACTGGGAGGGACTGGGAAGGGATTGGGTTATACTGGGAGGGACTGGGAAAGGGTTAAAGGTGGATTTGGGGTTACTGGTTTATACTGGGAGGGACTGGGAGGGGATTTGGGGTTACTGGTTTATACTGGGAGGGACTGGGAGGCACCTCCAGATGGGGCCGGAGTCCAAAATCAGCCTGGGGACTCAAACTGGTTTGTACTGGTTTGTACTGGGAGGGACTGGGAGGACTGGGAGGGGACTGGGATAAACTGGGAGGGACTGGGAGGGGGACTGGGTTATACTGGGAGGGACTGGGAGGGACTGGGAGGGACTGGGAAAGGGTTAAAGGGGGATTTGGGATTACTGGTTTGGACTGGTTTGTACTGGGAGGGACTGGGAGGGGGTTTGGGGTTACTGGATTATACTGGTCCGTACTGGTTTATACTGGTTTATACTGGTTTCTATTCATTTCTATGGGGTTCTATGGGTTTCTATGGGTTTCTATGGATCCATACTGGTTTATACTGGTCCATACTGGTCCATACTGGTTTATACTGGTTTCTATTCATTTCTATGGGGTTCTATGGGTTTCTATGGGTCCATACTGGTCCATACTGGTTTATACTGGTCCATACTGGTTTCCAGGTGCGCCACGTGGCCGCGGCCGCACTCCTTTGGGCCTCGGGGCACTGGTCCATACTGGTTTATACTGGTTTCTATTAATTTCTATGGGTTTCTATGGGTCCGTACTGGTCCGTACTGGTCCATACCGGTTTATACTGGTTTATACTGGTTTATACTGGTCCGTACTGGTCCATACCAGTCCATACTGGTTTATACTGGTTTCTATTCATTTCTATGGGGTTCTATGGGTCCGTACTGGTCCATACTGGTCCATACTGGTCCATACTGGTTTATACTGGTTTATACTGGTCCATACTGGTTTATACTGGTTTCTATTCATTTCTATGGGTTTCTATGGGTCCATACTGGTCCATACTGGTCCATACTGGTTTCCAGGTGCGCCACGTGGCCGCGGCCGCGCTCCTTTGGGCCTCGGGGCACTGGTCCATACTGGTTTATACTGGTTTCTATTCATTTCTATGGGTTTCTATGGGTCCATACCGGTTTATACTGGTCCGTACTGGTCCATACCGGTTTATACTGGTCTATATTAATTTCTATGGGTTTCTATGGGTCTGTACTGGTCCATACCGGTCCATACTGGTCTATACTGGTCCATACTGGTTTCTATTAATTTCTATGGGTTTCTATGGGTCCGTACGGGTCCATACTGGTCCATACTGGTTTATACTGGTTTCTATTAATTTCTATGTGTTTCTGTGGGTCCGTACTGGTCCATACTGGTTTATACTGGTTTCTATTCATTTCTATGGGGTTCTATGGGGTTCTATGGGTTTCTATGGGTCCATACTGGTCCGTACTGGTCCATACTGGTTTATACCGGTCCATACTGGTCTATACTGGTCCATACTGGTCCATACTGGTTTCCAGGTGCGCCACGTGGCCGCGGCCGCGCTCCTTTGGGCCTCGGGGCACTGGTCCATACTGGTCTATACTGGTCCATACTGGTTTCTATTCATTTCTATGGGTTTCTATGGGTCCGTACTGGTCCATACCGGTCCATACTGGTCCATACTGGTTTATACTGGTCCATACTGGTTTCCAGGTGCGCCACGTGGCCGCGGCCGCGCTCCTTTGGGCCTCAGGGCACTGGTCCATACTGGTTTATACTGGTTTCTATTCATTTCTATGGGTTTCTATGGGTCCGTACTGGTCCATACTGGTCCATACTGGTTTCTATTCATTTCTATGGGGTTCTATGGGTCCATACTGGTCCATACTGGTCCATACTGGTCTCTAACCGGTCCATATTGGTTTATACTGGTCCATACTGGTTTCCAGGTGCGCCACGTGGCCGCGGCCGCGCTCCTTTGGGCCTTGGGGCACTGGTCCATACTGGTTTATACTGGTTTCTATTAATTTCTATGGGTTTCTATGGGTCCGTACTGGTCCATACTGGTTTATACTGGTTTCTATTCATTTCTATGGGGTTCTATGGGGTTCTATGGGTCCATACTGGTCCATACTGGTCCATACTGGTTTATACTTGTTTCTATGGGTTTCTATGGGTCCATACTGGTCCATACTGGTCCATACTGGTCCATACCGGTCCATACCGGTCCATACTGGTCCATACTGGTCCATATTAATTTCTATGGGGTTCTATGGGTTTCTATGGGTCCATACTGGTCCATACTGGTTTATACTGGTTTCTATTCATTTCTATGGGGTTCTATGGGTCCGTACTGGTCCATACTGGTCCATACTGGTTTCTATTCATTTCTATGGGGTTCTATGGGGTTCTATGGGTTTCTATGGGTCCATACTGGTCCATACTGGTCCATACTGGTCCATACTGGTCCATACTGGTCCATACTGGTTTATACTGGTTTCTATTCATTTCTATGGGTTTCTATGGGTCCGTACTGGTCCATACTGGTTTATACTGGTCCATACTGGTCCATACTGGTCCATACTGGTTTCCAGGTGCGCCACGTGGCCGCGGCCGCGCTCCTTTGGGCCTCGGGGCGCCACGACCTCCCCTCCCCCCTGCGGCTGCCCCTGGGGGGGCTCCTGGCGGCCGCCGCCTACGAGGGATTCCTGATCGGGTAATTAATTAATCCATTAATTAATTAATTGGCTTAATTATTCATTAATTGTTCATTAATGGGAACGGGAGATGGAACTTGGGGGCTTTGGGGTTCGTTAATTATTCGTGAGGTAATTAAGGGATTGAAGGTGGGAAGGGGTTTGTGAAGGGTTCCTGATTGGGGTGATCAGCTAATTAATTAATTAATTAATTAGGTAATTATTGATGGGGAGGAGGCTATAAGGGGTTCCTGATTGGGTAATTAGCGAAGTAATTAATTAACTTGTTAGTATTACTTCCTGTAGCTAATTAATATAGAAATAATTATAATAATTGTTATTTTATAATGATATATAACTTAAAATAATTAAATATATATTGTATATTAAAATATTATAATTAATTAATAATCATTAATATAATTAATTCTAATATAAATAATGTTAGAATTCGACTTAATTGATTTACTAATTAATTTACTAATTGATTTAATAATTAGTTCATTAACATTGCTTTTATAGCTATTAATTATTATTCTTTATTTGTATTATTAATGATTAATATTATAGTTAATAAATGAATTAATTATAGAAGTAATAATAATTATTGTTTATTATTTTTGCTAATATTATTACTATTACTATTTTATTAGTTTTACTATTATTATTCCTATTACTATTTTATTATTACTATTATTATAATTAATATTATTCCTATTATTATTCCGAATATTATTACTATTACTATTCTATTATTTTTACTATTATTATTCCTATTATTATTCTATTATTATTCCTATTATTATTACTATTATTAATGCTATTATTAATGCTAATCTTAATACTATTAATACAAATACAATACTATTATTCCTATTATTATTCTATTATTCCTATTATCATAACTATCATTATTACTATTATTATAACTATTATTATTCCTATTATTATAATTATTATTACTATTATTATTAATTTATCTACTTTTTATTAGCAGTATTAATTAATACTTAATAAGTAATACATAATTAATATTTATATATATAATATATAAAATATATAATTATATATAATTATATATTATTAATATATTTATTATATTTATATATTATATATAATAATTAATATTAAATAATACTTAATAAATAATTAATCAGCAAATTAATTCTAGGGATGACGCCTCCAAGGCCTTCCTAATGACACACCTAATTAACAATCAATTAACTAATTAACCAAGGAGGGTTCTTAATGGGGACAACTCATTAATTATTCATTAATAACAATGAATAATTATTATACATGAATAATAATTAACCGCTTAATGGGCGGGAGGGAATCTGAATTGGGTGGTAATTAAGGATTTATGAGTGAATTAAGAATTAATTAATGATTAATTTAAATTTTTTTGGCTCCTCCCACAGGTGGGCGGGGCAAGCGCTGGGCCTGGGCCCCTGGGGGGCGCTGGGGCTGCGGGCGCTGGGGGCGGCGGCGCTGGGGCTGGGGGCCATGAGGCTGCTGGTGCCCCTGCTGCCGCCCCCCTGAGCCACCTGGGCACACCTGGGGGCACAAAATGGGGAAAAACAGCGAAAATTTGGGGAAAAAACGGTGAAAATTTGGTGAAAATCGGTGAAAATTTGGTGAAAATCGGTGAAAATTTGAGGAAAATCCGCAAAAATTTGAGTGTTTGGGGACACCTGGGCACACCTTGGGGCCATGAGGCTGCTGGTGCCCCTGCTGCCGCCCCCCTGAGCCACCTGGGCGCACCTGGGGGCACAAAATGGGGAAAAACAGCGAAAATTTGGGAAAAAAACGGCGAAAATTTGAGGAAAATCGGCGAAAATTTGGTGAAAATCGGTGAAAATTTGAGTGTTTGGGGACACCTGGGCACACCTGGGGGCCATGAGGCTGCTGGTGCCCCTGCTGCCGCCCCCCTGAGCCACCTGGGCACACCTGGGGGCACGAAATGGGGAGAAACAGTGAAAATTTGGTGAAAATCGGTGAAAATTTGGGGAAAATCGGTGAAAATTTGAGGAAAAACGGTGAAAATTTGAGGGAAATCCGTGAAAATCTGAGGGAAATCGGTGAAATTTGGAGCGTGTGGGGGCACCTGAGATGGATCTGGGCACACCTGGGCACACCTGGGGGCACCAAAATGGGGAAAAAAGGCGAAAATTTGGGGAAAAAACGGTGAAAATTTGAGGAAAATCCGCGAAAATTTGAGTGTTTGGGGACACCTGGGCACACCTGGGGGCCATGAGGCTGCTGGTGCCCCTGCTGCCGCCCCCCTGAGCCACCTGGGCACACGTGGGGGCACGAAATGGGGAGAAACAGCGAAAATTTGGGAAAAAACGGCGAAAATTTGGTGAAAATCGGTGAAAATTTGAGGAAAATCCGCGAAAATTTGAGGATTTGGGGACACCTGGGGGCACGAAAATGGGGAAAATCTGTGAAAATTTGAGGAAAAATGGTGAAAATTGGAGAGTTTGGGGACACCTGAGCTGCACCTGGGCACACCTGGGAGGGAAAAATGGCGAAAATTTGGGAAAAAACGGTGAAAATTTGGTGAAAATCGGTGAAAATTTGGTGAAAATCTGTGATAATTTGAGTGTTTGGGGACACCTGGGCACACCTGGGGGCCATGAGGCTGCTGGTGCCCCTGCTGCCGCCCCCCTGAGCCACCTGGGCGCACCTGGGGGCACAAAATGGGGAAAAACAGCGAAAATTTGGGAAAATTTGGTGAAAATTTGAGGAAAATCCGTGAAAATTTGAGGAAAATCGGTGAAAATTTGAGGGAAATCGGTGAAACTTGGAGCGTGTGGGGGCACCTGAGATGAGATGGATCTGGGCACACCTGGGGGCACGAAAATGGGGAAAAACAGCAAAAATTTGGGAAAATTTGAGGAAAATTTGAGGAAAATCGGTGAAAATTTGAGGGAAATCGGTGAAAATTTGAGGGAAATCGGTGAAAATTTGAGAGTTTGGGGGCACCTGGGGGTACCAAAATGAGGGAAAATGGTGAAAATTTGAGGGAAATTGGTGAAAATTGGAGAGTTTGGGGACACCTGAGCTGCACCTGGGCACAGCTGGGAGGTAAAAATGGCGAAAATTTGGTGAAAATCGGTGAAAATTTGGTGAAAATCCGCGAAAATTTGAGGAAAATCCGCGAAAATTTGAGTGTTTGGGGACACCTGGGCACACCTGGGGGCCATGAGGCTGCTGGTGCCCCTGCTGCCGCCCCCCTGAGCCACCTGGGCGCACCTGGGGGCACAAAATGGGGAAAAAAGGTGAAAATTTGGGAAAATTTGGTGAAAATTTGAGGAAAATCGGTGAAAATTTGGTGAAAATCGGTGAAAATTTGGGGAAAATCCGTGAAAATTTGAGGGAAATCGGTGAAATTTGGAGCGTGTGGGGGCACCTGAGATGAGATGGATCTGGGCACACCTGGGCACACCTGGGGGCACGAAAATGGGGAGAAACAGTGAAAATTTGGGGAAAAACGGTGAAAATTTGGTGAAAAACGGTGAAAATTTGAGGGAAATCGGTGAAAATTTGAGGGAAATCGGTGAAAATTTGAGAGTTTGGGGGCACCTGGGGGTACCAAAATGAGGGAAAATGGTGAAAATTTGAGGGAAATTGGTGAAAATTGGAGAGTTTGGGGACACCTGAGCTGCACCTGGGCACAGCTGGGAGGTAAAAATGGCGAAAATTTGGTGAAAATCGGTGAAAATTTGGTGAAAATCCGCGAAAATTTGAGGAAAATCCGCGAAAATTTGAGTGTTTGGGGACACCTGGGCACACCTGGGGGCCATGAGGCTGCTGGTGCCCCTGCTGCCGCCCCCCTGAGCCACCTGGGCGCACCTGGGGGCACGAAATGGGGAAAAACAGCGAAAATTTGGGAAAAAACGGTGAAAATTTGGTGAAAATCGGTGAAAATTTGAGGAAAATCGGTGAAAATTTGAGTGTTTGGGGACACCTGGGCACACCTGGGGGCCATGAGGCTGCTGGTGCCCCTGCTGCCGCCCCCCTGAGCCACCTGGGCGCACCTGGGGGCACGAAAATGGGGAAAAAAGGTGAAAATTTGGGGAAAAACGGTGAAAATTTGGGGAAAATCGGTGAAAATTTGAGGGAAATCCGTGAAAATTTGAGGGAAATCGGTGAAAATTTGAGGGAAATGCGCGAAATTTGAGGGAAATGCGCAGAAATTGGAGAGTTTGGGGACACCTGAGCTACACCTGGGCACACCTGGGGGCACGAAATGGGGAAAAACAGCGAAAATTTGGGAAAATTTGGTGAAAATTTGGGAAAATTTGGTGAAAAACGGTGAAAATTTGAGGGAAATCCGTGAAAATTTGAGGGAAATCCATGAAAATTGGAGGGTCTGGGGACACCTGAGATGGATCTGGGCACACCTGGGCACACCTGGGGGCACGAAAATGGGGAAAAACAGCAAAAATTTGGGAAAATTTGAGGAAAATTTGAGGGAAATCGGTGAAAATTTGAGGAAAATCCGCGAAAATTTGAGAGTTTGGGGACACCTGGGCACACCTGGGGGCAGAAAAATGGGGAAAATCAGTGAAAATTTGAGGGAAATTGGTGAAAATTTGAGAGTTTGGGGACACCTGAGCTGCACCTGGGCACACCTGGGAGGGAAAAATGACGAAAATTTGGTGAAAATCGGTGAAAATTTGAGGAAAATCGGTGAAAATTTGAGTGTTTGGGGACACCTGGGCACACCTGGGGGCCATGAGGCTGCTGGTGCCCCTGCTGCCGCCCCCCTGAGCCACCTGGGCACACCTGGGGGCACGAAATGGGGAAAAAAGGTGAAAATTTGGGAAAAAACGGTGAAAATTTGGTGAAAAACGGTGAAAATTTGAGGAAAATCCGTGAAAATTTGGTGAAAAACAGTGAAAATTTGAGGGAAATGCGTGAAATTTGAGGGAAATGCGCAGAAATTGGAGAGTTTGGGGACACCTGAGCTACACCTGGGCACACCTGGGGGCACGAAATGGGGAAAAACAGCGAAAATTTGGGAAAAAACGGTGAAAATTTGGTGAAAAACAGTGAAAATTTGAGGGAAATTGGTGAAAATTTGAGGGAAATCCATGAAAATTTGAGGGAGATCGGTGAAAATTTGGAGAGTTTGGGGGCACCTGAGATGGATCTGGGCACACCTGGGCACACCTGGGGGCACGAAAATGGGGAAAAACAGCGAAAATTTGGTAAAAATCGGTGAAAATTTAAGGGAAATCGCAAAAATTTGAGGATTTGGGGACACCTGGGGGCAGAAAAATGGGGAAAAAGGGCAAAAATTTGAGGGAAATTGGTGAAAATTGGAGAGTCTGGGGGCACCTGAGCTACACCTGGGCACACCTGTGGGCACGAAAATGGGGAAAAACAGCGAAAATTTGGGAAAATTTGGTGAAAATCCATGAAAATTTGAGGAAAACTGGTGAAAAATTGAGAGTTTGGGGGCACCTGGGGGCAGAAAAATGGGGAAAATCCGTGAAAATTTGAGGGAAATTGGTGAAAATTGGAGAGTTTGGGGGCACCTGAGCTACACCTGGGGGCACCAAAATGGGAAAAACAGCGAAAATTTGGGGAAAATCGGTGAAAATTTGAGGGAAATTTGTGAAAATTTGAGGGAAATTGGTTAAAATTGGAGAGTTTGGGTGTGCAGTGGGTGTGGCCCAGGTATGCAAATGATCCCCAGGTGTGAATGGGCGTGGCCTAAGGATGTAAATTACCCCAGGTGTGAATGGGCCTGGTCCAGGTATGCAAATGATCCCGACATGTGCAGTGGGAGTGGCCCAGGTGTGAATGGGCGTGGCCCAGGTATGTAAATGACACCCAGGTCTGCTGGGGGCGTGGCCTAAGTATGCAAATTATCTCCAGTTGTGAATGGGCGTGGCCTAGGTACGTAAATGACGCCCAGGTGTGAATGGGCGTGGCCTAAGGAAGTAAATGACCCCCAGGTGTGCAATGGGCGTGGTCCAGGTGTGAATGGGCGTGGTCCAGATACGTAAATAACCCCAGGTGTGCAATGGGCGTGGCCTATGTATGTAAATGACCCCCAGGTGTACAGTGGGTGTGGTCTAGGTATGCAAATGAGCTGCACCTGTGAATGGGCGTGGCCCAGGTATGCAAATGATCCCTAGGTGCATGGTGGGCATGGTTCAGGTGTGAATGGGCGTGGCCTAGTTATGTAAATGACCCCCAGGTGTGCAATGGGTGTGGACCAGGTATGCAAATGATCCCCAGGTGTGAATGGGCGTGACCAAAGTATGCAAATGACCCCCAGGTGTGCAGTGGGCGTGGACCAGGTATGCAAATGACCCCCAGGTGTGAATGGGCGTGGCCTAAGTATGTAAATGACCCCCAGGTGTGCAGTGGGCGTGGCCCAGGTGTGAATGGGCGTGGCCTAGGCATGTAAATGCGTAAATGACACCCAGGTGTTCGGTGGGCGTGGCCCAGGTATGTAAATGAGCACATGAGTCCCAGGTGTGAATGGGCGTGGCCTAAGTATGCAAATGATCCCCAGGTGTGAATGGGCGTGGTCCAGGTATGTAAATGCCCCAGGTGTGAATGGGCGTGCTCCAGGTATGTAAATGAGTCCCGGATGTGAATGGGCGTGGCCTAAGTATGTAAATCACCCCCAGGTCTACAATGGGCGTGGCCCATTTATGCAAATGACCCCCAGGTGTGCAATGGGTGTGGCCCTGGTATGTAAATAACCCCCATGTCTGCAATGGGCGTGGCCTAAGTATGTAAACGACCCCCAGGTGGTCAGTGGGCGTGGCCCAGTTGTGAATGGGCGTGGCCTAAGTATGTAAACGACCCCCAGGTGTGCAGTGGGCGTGGTCCGGATATGCAAATGTGCCCCTTCCCCGAGCAATAAACGCACCTGGACACCCCCGAATGAGTCGCCTGTGCCTTTATTTCCTCTTTTAAATAAATTTGAATTTTAAATTTTATTTAAATTTCATTTTCTCCTCAGAAAATTCCTCAGAATTCTCCAAAAATTTTCCCCCAAAATTCCCAATTTTCCCCCCAAAATTCCCAATTTTCCCCCCTAAAATTCCCAATTTTCTCCCCCAAAATTTCCCCCCAAATTCCCAAATTTTTCTTCTTAAAATTCCCTCCCAAATTTCCCGATTTCCTGCCCCAAAATTCCCAAGTTTTTCCCCCCAAAATTTCCTTTTCTCCTCCAAATTTCCTGCCCCAAAAATTCCCTTTTTTTACTCCCCAAAATTTCCCAATTTTTCCCCCTGAAATTCCCAATTTCCTCCCCCCAAATTCCCCAAAATTTTCCCCAAAATTCCCCAAAAATTTTCTTCCAAAATTCCCAATTTTCCTCCAAAATTTCCCAATTTTTCCCTCCGAAATTCCCAATTTCCTCCCCCTAAATTCCCAAAAATTTTCCCCCAAAATTCCCCAAAATTTTCCCCAAAATTTTCCTCCAAAATTCCCAATTTTCCCCCCAAAAAATTCCAACTTTTCCCCTCAAATTTCTGCTTTTTTTCCCAAAATTTCCCAATTTTTCCCCCTAAAAATTCCCAAATTTTTCTCCCAAAATTTCCATTTCCCCCCTCAATTAATCTCCCATTAATCGCTAATGAGTCATTAATTAATGCTGTCATTAATCACTCATTAATGCTGTAATTAAATGTTAATTATTCCTTAATTAATGCCATCATCAATCTCCCATTAATCGCTAATTAATCATTAATAAAGCCGGTATTAATCTCCCCTTAATTGCTAATAAACAATTTATTAATGCTGTCATTAACCGCTAATTAATCTTTAATTAACGCCGCTATTAATCACTAATAAATCCTTAATTAACGCTGGTATAAATAGCTAATAAATCACCAATTAACGCCGCCATTATTCGCTAATAAATGACCAATTAACGCCACTATTAATAGCTAATAAATCTTTAATTAACGCCGCCATTATTTGCTAACAAATCACCAATTAACGCTGCCATTAACCTCTAAATAATTATTAATTAACGCCGCCATTAATCGCTAATAAATCCTTAATTAACGCCGCCATTAATCGCTAATTAATCACCAATTAACGCCGCTAATAATCGCTAATAAATCCTTAAATTACGGCGCTATTAATAGCTAATAAATCACCAATTAAAGCCGTCATTAATCGGTAATAAATCAGCAATTATCGCCTTCGTTAATCGCTAATTAATCCTTAATTAACGCCGCCATTAATCGCTAATTAATCATCAATTAACGCCGCCATTATTCGCTAATAAATGACCAATTAACGCCGCTATTAATCGCAAATAAATCCTTAATTAACGCCACTATTAATAGCTAATAAATCCTTCATTAACGCTGCCATTAATCGCTAATAAATCCTTAATTAACGCTGCTATTAATCGCTAATAAATCACCAATTACCATGGCCATTAATCTCTTAATAATCCTTAATTAACGCCGCCATTAATCGTAATAAATTCTTAATTAACGCCGCTAATTATAGCTAATAAATCACCAATTAACACCGCCATTAATCCCTAAGAAATCTTTAATTAACGCCGCCATTAATCGCTAATAAATCCTTAATGAACGCCGCTATTAATAGCTAGTAAATCACCAATTAAGGCCGCTATTAATCGCTAGTAAATCCTTAATTAACGCTGCCACTAATTGCTAATTAATCTTTATTTAGCGCCGCCATTATTCGCTAATAAATCCTTTTTTAACGCCGCCATTAATCGCTAATAAATCTTTATTAACGCATTAATCGCTAATAAATCCTTAATTAAGGCCACTATTAATAGCTAATAAATCACCAATTAACGCCGCCATCAATCCCCAATAAATCCTTAATTAACGCTGGTATAAATAGCTAATAAATAACCAATTAACGCCGCCATTAATCCCTAATTAATCACCAATGAACGCCGCTTAATAGCTAATAAATCTTTAATTAACGCCGCCATTATTTGCTAATAAATCACCAACTAAAGCCGCCATTAATCGCTAATTAATCTTTCATTAACGCCGCCAGTAATCGGTAATAATTCACCAATTAACGCCGCCATTAATCGCTAATAAAGCCTTAATTACTGCCGCTATTAATCGCTAATAAATCACCAATAAACGCGGCCAGTAATCTCTAAATAATCCTTAATTAACGCCGCTATTAATCCGAATAAATCTTTAATTACCGCCGCTATTAATCGCTAATAAATCCTTAAATTATGCCGCTAATAATCGCTAATAAATTCTTAATTAACGCCGCTAATTATAGCTAATAAATCACCAATTAACACCGCCATTAATCCCTAAGAAGTCTTTAATTAACGCCGCCATTATTCGCTAATAAATCCTTTATTAAGGCCGCCATTTATTGCTAATAAATCACCAATTAACGCTGTCATTAATCTCTAAATAATCCTTAAATCACTCTGCTATGAATCGCTAATTAATATTTAATTAATCCGCCATTAATCATTAATAAATCCTTAATTAAAGTTGCTATTAATCGCTAATAAATCAATTAACGCGGCCATAAATCTCTAATAAATCCTTAATTAACGCCGCTAATTATAGCTAATAAATCACCAATTAACGCCGCCATTAATCTTTAATAAATCTTTAATTAACGCCGCTATTAATAGCTAGTAAATCACCAATTAACGCCGGTAATAATCGCTAATAAATCCTTAAATTACCCCGCTATTAATAGCTAATAAATCACCAATTAACGCCGCCATCAATCGCTAATAAATCCTTCATTAACGCTGCTATTAATCGCTAATAAATCCTTAATTAACGCTGCTATTAATCGCTAATAAATCACCAATTACCGTGGCCATTAATCTCTTAATAATCCTTAATTAACGCCGCCATTAATCGTAATAAATCCTTGATTAACGCCGCTAATTATAGCTAATAAATCACCAATTAACACCGCCATTAATCCCTAATAAATCTTTAATTAACGCCGCCATTAATCACTAATAAATCCTTAATGAACGCCGCTATTAATAGCTAGTAAATCACCAATTAACGCCGCTATTAATCGCTAGTAAATCCTTAATTAACGCCGCCATTAATCGCTAATAAATCCATAAATTACGCGGCTATTAATAGCTAATGAATCACCAATTAATGCCGCCATCAATTCCTAATAAATCTTTAATTAACGCCACTTAATAGCTAATAAATCTTTAATTAACGCCGCTATATATTGCTAATAAATCCTCAATTAACGCCGCTATTAATAGCTAATAAATCATCATTTAACACCGCCGTCAATCCCTAATAAATATTTAATGAACGCCGCTTAATAGCTAATAAATCTTTAATTAACGCGGCCATTAATCTCTAAATAATCCTTAATTAACGCTGCTATTAATCGCTAATTAATCTTTAATTACCGCCTCTATTAATACGAATAAATCTTTAATTACCGCCGCTATTAATCGGTAATAAATCCTTAAATTACGCCGCTAATAATCGCTAATAAATCCTTAAATTACGCCGCTATTAATAGCTAGTAAATCCTCAATTAACGCCGCTATTAATCGCTAATTAATCACCAATTAACGCCGCCATTAATCGCCAATAACCGGGACCCGGCTGCGCCAAAGCTGCGGCCAAAGCAACGCGGGGGGGGGGGGACGGACGACGGCGGCGGGGCCGCGCAGATCGAACTGCGCATAGCGCGCGGCTGATCCCGGAAGCGGCGCCGCTGGCTGTAGCAACCGCGCATGCGCGGTTTGCGTCACGGCGTCATCATGGCGCGGGGGGGGGGGGGGTATGGCGGGCGGGCAGCGCGGGAGGCGGCGGAGCTGCGGGAACGGGCGCCGGGGCCACGGCTGCGGCCGTGGAAGGGAACGCCGGACGGCCGCGGTTGCGGGAGGCGGCGGAGCCGCGCCGTCCAGCGGCTCTGAAACGGGAGGGTGCGGGGGGGAAGGCGCGGCTCGGCCCGCCATGGAGCGGCGGCGGCGGCAGGAGCGGGGAAGCGGCCACGGGCGGCGGCGCCGGCGGGACATGATCCCGGAGGGGTGGCGGGAGGCGGGAGGAGCGGCGGGAGAGGCTGCAGCCGCCGGTGCGGACGCCGCGGCGCCGGCACGGGGTGGCTGGGCGGGGCCCGGTGCTGCGGCGGGAACGGGGGATGGCGCCGAAACGGCGGCAGGGACGGGGTGAACCGGGGGTGTCCGCCCGGCCCGGGGCCCGTGGGCAGCTCGGAGCGCCGGGGTTGGGGGGGCGGCAACGCGCACAGGGGGCGCTGGGGACGCGGCGCGGCCGCGCCGGGCGCGCTCGGCACCGCAGATCCCGGAGCCGCGGGGAACGGCAAAGACGCGGCAGCTACGGCGGGACCGGGGCCAGAACCGGCGCCGCTGAGTCCGCAAAGGGGGCGAGGGGGACGGGGGGGGGGGCGGCAGGAGCGGCTGCAATCGCAGGGAACGGGGGAGAAGCGGCGGTGGCGGGAGGGGGCGGGGCCGCGGCTACGGAAGCCGCGCAGTGCCAAGCGGGGGCGGGGGCCGCGGGTACGGAAGCCGCGCGGTGCCAAGGGGAGGCGGGGGGCGGGGGCCGCGGCTACGGGATCCGCGCGGTGCCAAAAGGAGCTGGGGGGCGGGACGCGCTGCGGACTCGCAGCGGCAGCGAGGGGCGGAGCTCGCAAAAGGGGCGGGGCGGCGGCTGCGGGCACCGCCCGTGCAGCAAACGGGGCTGGAGCAGCGCCCGAGGGCTGGGAGCGGCCCCGCGGCAGCCACGGCGCGGCGGGAGAGGCCATTAAAGTGCTTTAAACACCCGCGTGCAAAGGCTCTGATAAACACGGCTGAACGGCAGCACTGGGGAAATGCAATAAAATCCAATCCGGGAGGCTGAACGGCCATTTTGCGACAGCCGCGATTTTCGGCTCATTGTACGACACTTCTGC